GGCGAAGTGGAACAGAGCTCAAATAACGAGACCACAGTGCCATTAAGATGGTAATGAGGCCAAACTAGCGTGTACACAACAATGTGAATTCGGAGACAAAGGCAGAACTCAGCACAACACCATGTTGCACACAATAACCTGGATCTTTGCAGAAAGAGATGAGCTAGAAGATCCAAAGCAATGCCCTCCTGCATTTCATTTTGGCCACTGGAATTTAGATCTATTCTCAGAAGCTCTGCAGCTTCCCAGCAAAAAAACACAAAAAACATCTAATGATAGTTGAGTAAGTACCATGATGCATCAGTGACTGAAGCCAAAACACAAGCGGGTGGCTGATGTTTCACTCTATTCATCTCAGAGGGAGGAGTGGTTTGGTAGTTTCAGTTTAAATTCCAGCAAACAAAAGACACGCCCTCACTAATGACTAATGATTTGTTCAGAGTCTAAAAATAAAGAATCAATGAACTTTATGAAACATTAAAGATATTATCCTGTTGTTTATTGTCTCTACAATCAAAGATGTACGCTGGAAACCAGATAGAAGAATCCAGTAATGGGAGAAGAGATTTTGACGGTCGTATTTAACAAAAAAAAAGGCTGCCAATTCTTTTTTTTTTTTTTTATCAGCAGGCATTAGGAAAAAAAAACAATGTGATTAACTTCCGCCTAAATTTGAAGCATCCAGTTATCTACTCAAACTTACCACATCAACCTGGGATCCATGCAGTACTCATTATACCTTGCTAAACAGAATTTGAATTAAAACAGGAATAAAAACTAGTAAAACATTATAGGACATCCTCCAGAGATCTGTGATGTATTGTTTTATGAATTATTAAGGCCAATTTATGCCAATTTATGCTTCTGAAGCATAAAAAAAACTGTTACTAAACATCGGACGGTCGCAAACCCGTGCAGACAAAAAGCAGCTGTGATTTGTCCTTGGTATGCCTTTCCGGCTGTCTGTGTGTTCGTCCTTCTCGATTCGGTGCCGAGGTGCGCCATTTTTAAAAACCGAGGAACAATTACAATGGACAACTACGACAAAAGGTTAATCGGTATTTTTGCCAACTCCTTTAAGAGAACCTGTTCCTCTTCTACGTCTAGCAACTCTAGATCCGTCTCCGTGACCGTGATATCTTGCAGATGCGCCATTGTTGTTTAGGAAGATAAACACTCCCAGCGGTGCCGCCAAAGTTCTCATGACCAGCCACACAAGTTCTTGCGAGTTCTCAAATAGGCGCCCCCTTGTGTTTTGGCGGGAAACTGCTGCGCGTCCTAGAAATTCCAGACCGACGGTGCAGAAGTAAACCAGCAAAACTGATTGGCAAACAGCCCCAAGCCACAATTGATGTGTGCGGATGCAGAAGTCTAATCTGCTCTTTAGTCACGTTGAAGCTCACTTTTGGTGGGAAGACTGGATTTTGCATAATATTTTTCAAAACAATACAACAATGAAATTGTTCCTCTTTTGTAGACAAACAATACCCGATGTAATGTTGCTTAACTTTACCATAAAGTCTGTTTAGCAATTAAGACGGTTGAGTCAAACATTAAAAGGAAGATAAGATAAAAACGTCTTTCTGATTAAATATCCACTTTATAAACTGACAAATCTCACCATTAACAAAACTAAATTAGACGTTTTACAAAACAATACACTTAAAAAAACATTAAGAGCAATCCAAATCTGTCTATGGTAAAAACACTGGATTAAAGTTTTAAATCCTGACTTTCTTACTCTTGAATCATTTAAACCATCCGGGGAATAAATCTGCCAACATGAGGAAACGTGTATTTAAGTTGATATGAAAGGCAGGATTTCAGGCTGGATAATGGGCAGAGACACAGAGGAGGGGGGGGTAAAACTGCTGGCAGATGGCAGACTAAAAAAAACAGCACTTTGAAGTCCTCCAGCCACAGGTTTAAAAGCGGATCAAGCTTTTGTATGATAAACCAAAAGACATTTCTGACATTAAATAAAACAGCCATGGCGTTTCCCCCCTACTACCATCAATCAATAGATTTCAATAATGGAAGGCAGCCAACAAATTAAGACTAAATTAATAATCAAATTCCTTCTCATTTCAAATGCTGGTTATCTACTTTAGAGAATAAAATTAAATAAATCTATTTCTATTTTCTTTGTGACTTTTAATTAATCCAAGTTTTTTCTTTAAAAAAAAAAAACTAAAGATATCCATTACACTAAAAAAAAAATTAAGTGCATGTACCTTTAATTTTAACAAGGTAAATAACATGATTTGCCAATTTTTTACTCTTAAAATAAGATAATTAGATAACATGCACTCGAAATGAGACAATATAATTGTTTTTTTCTTATTTTAAATGTAAATTGTTTGGTTAAATAGGCAAAGTGTCTCATTTGAGTTTTTCTTACTTATTTTAAGAAAAATGACTTCTTCAGACCTAGTTTTTCGGCAGTGTAATAAACTAACTTTGAAGCAGTTGTTTTATTCTTCATAGCACCGTGTCCTTCCTTGCTAGCTCACTAAACGTCCCTGGACTCGCAGTTTCTCCCCTCGGAGCCATTTAATTAATTCAAATTAACAGGAAACGCGGTTACCATTATTTACCAACTAGGTAAGTAATTAAAAACACTTAAAGTTATTCGCTGGGAAACTCGCTGAGGAGAGTTGAACCGTCGGTGGCTAAAGGCTGGCTGGCCGCTGCTGCCGTTTGAAATGAGAAATTCCTCAAAGTCGCTCAGTTTCGGATGGAAACTTACCTGGAAAGAAGCTCAGCAGTAGAAAAGCAAGCCGGAATTTGGAGGACTCCATCTTTTTTTCCTTTTTAGATATCCCAACAGTTCGCCGGAGAAACTTGGTGAAAGAAGTTGTAACCGATACCGACTATAGACGGTCAGCCCCGCTCTGCTCCACCGAAGCATCCAAACTCCACTCCCCCTCCTCCTCCTCCTCCTCCTCCTGCTGCGTGCAGGTGCACAGCGGAGCGCGCCCCGGGCGGTCACGTGACACCGAAAGGCTACAAAGCTCAGCGTCGCCATCTACTGGTCAAAAAGGGTAATGACAGTCTCTACAAACACGATTGTTTATCATGGGTGCTTTGTTGTTTAGAGGTTTTTATATATATATATATATATATATATATATATATATATATATATATATATATATATATATGTATATATATATGTATATATATACTAATATAATATATACTAATATATATACTAAATTGTTCTGCATTAATTGTTGTATAGTGATGTTTTTATTTTTCATGTATTTTAATCTAATACTAGATTTTTTAATTTCCTAGTTCTAATACTAGAACTTGTACAACCTGTCAGTCTGTTTTGTATTATTTCTAAACATTAAATCAGAATTTATGATCCAAGTTACTCAGTACTACAGGAACCTTCTTACTAAATACTTTTTTTATTTTCTCTAGTAATTTGTTGGATACTTTTTTTTTTGCTTGAGTAGAAATGCTTTCCCTATCATTTTACAGAGAAAGAAGATGATTACTTTAATTTAAGGTCATAGTTAATATAACGTCTATTACTGCTGCTGTAGATTACCATCATAAAATGCTATTAAAGATAAAAGTTCCCCTCAGATTGATCTCACGTTTTCTCTGCATTTATCTTTCGGTAATATTCGGTATCAATATGTCCTGTCATTTCATTTGTTCCTGTTATCTCTCACTCCCTCATGCTGTTTACTCATGAAACACCAGATCACTGCGACATCCTGATGCTTTAAACTGCTCCGACCGGTCAGACCCGTCATGTAACCCCAGGGTGAGCGAGGTTCACTTTCTACTCAGACATTTTATCATTCTGTTAAACATCAAACATCTGAAGCCTTCAGCAAAGAGTCCAGCTGACAGATAAATTAGATGCTATTTTTAATTCTTGCATCTTCTGACATCCTATTGATAAGTGCTTTAATAACAGGTTTCGGAAAGTTCCTGCATGGAGATGAATATTTCAAACGTGTTTTATGACTATTTGGAAGACAATGGTTTGTGGGTTAGATATGATCTACTGGAGTCCTTTAAATAGAGACATTTTTTAGTGCTTCCTGGTTCCCTCTGCTGACAGGTTTTCATAAATACCAATTAGTGATAGACCGATACATTGGCCGGCTGATATTAGCGCTTTTTCATGTATCGGCTGATAGGTGGATTCAGCAGCCATGCCAAGACGTCACGCTTGGTTTGCCGTATCTGATCTTTTTTTTGTTAATGTATCTTTTTGTATACATTGACTTCACATTGTTTTCATTATGTAAAAAGAAAATGTACACTTAAAATAAGATTGCATTGTCTTATTTCAACTGCATATTCTCTATATAATTCCATTGGCAAACTCTGATTTATCTACTCAGATTAGTGATAAATACACATAATTTAAGATATTTTTTTTACTTATTTCTAGAACGTTTTTCCAGTGAAAAAACTATCATGTTGAATTAATTTTACCAGAACTTGGCACCTTCTCACAGAGATAAACACACTTAGAGATATTTTAGGGGCATCCAGCATCAGTTTATGCATAAAAAAAAAAACCCATAAGATTTTAGGTATGTAATTTTTTTTTTGTTACAAGTAATTTTACATGTTTAACCCCTGCCTGGCTGTTTCTGTCTTTAAGCAGCTGGACAAAGCTACACATTATGCAGGGATTCTCACTGTATGAAGACGAGGGTCTCATTAGGGGTGTCCAGGAATAGGACTGATAGAAAAACACAAGATTATGCAATGCTTGGAAATGTTTAATAAAAGTTTATAATATTAAGCCTATACATCTGAAAATTTGTGCTTAATAAATAAAACATTTCATCACAAAGGACATTAAGCTGTAGTAAAAATACAGTACTTCAAAATTACACATGTAGTATTCCAATTTCTCTACCTAATTTCATACAAGTGATTCATTCCAACTATAACAAAACAATCTAAAGTGCAAAAGACTGAAAAAAACAATATTGACGTTATAAAAATTCATGTTTAAAAAAAAAAAAGGTCAGTCAAAGTTTTTCTAGGTTTAATGTCCAGTGTGAACAACAAGCACCGAGGTCCCTAACTGTAACTATGTGCCATGTATGGCTCTGTGTCCCAGTACTCGGGGCCCGCTCTGTAGACAGGAGGGACCCAAACGTTGCTCCTAAAGGAGTGGGGGGCCCTGCCCCGGGGCCGGTAGCCGTAGTGAGGCCTTGGAAGGATGAGACCTTTCCCTGACGTCGTCTCTCTGGGATGCCAGGAAGGAGCTCCGGGATTCATGGTCTGAAACCAGAAGAGACTTTATTAATTCCATTAAAAAAGGCCAGCCTATTATTTTTCATTCCAACTGCATAAGATCAGCCATTTTAAACCAAAATCAGAACACACACACAACAAGAGATTTAAAAAAAGAATGAATTATTTCAGCGAATCGTCTTAATTTGACCAACCGACGTATTCAGACTCTAAACTGGTTTAAACCGGGTGCTTCCATGAAGGGCCCTACCTGGTGGCTCCCGCTGCTTTTGGGGACAGTGAGGGGGGAACTACGCGTGCTTTCCTCATCAGAAGAAGAACCCGAGTGGTAGTCAGACGTCACCCTCTCCAGAGCACTGGTCACCTTCTTAGCAACGTCTTTATCATCCTCATCATCGCTGCTGAAGGTGGCCACTGAGAAGCAGGGGTTGTGCTCTCCGTATCTGACAGGAGGACAAAATAAGGAAAACATTCACTGCAAACAGCTTGGCGAAGAAGAAGCAGAGAAAGAGTGATTCCAGAGCATCTGTTTAATGATGTAAGGCTGAACTGACACTCCTATTTTAACGCATTATGGAAAAATGTCTGGAATGTTCTGGAAATCTACCAGTTAAGGTGTTTACTAACTGAAGGCCATTAGCAACACTAACTGTATTGATCATAAACGTCCGTGTCGCTGTAGAGTTACGCAACTCTCTGTTTTTTTTTTTGTTTTTTTTAAAGTTGTAGGGAAATCATATTTAAGTTTTAAATCATTCTGGCTTTACCATGTATATAAATGTACTCTTTATCAGTCCATATTGTCCCAAAAGTTAGAAAAGTTCTATTTTAAAACAAATCCTGTCTTAAAATCTGTGTTGTTTTTCGTTCTTATGCAGGCCAGTTAGTTATAAGTCATCCTGAACACATAAGTCTGGCCAATCATATATCAACGGTCAGAATTTGTACATGTTTGAGCCCTTGCTTCGCAACGCTGCCAGTTCTGTTAGCTCTACGCCGGCCGAAGACACAGACGTCCATCCCCGTGAACACTGGGACGGAACTCAATTGGAAAGGAAATGACGACAGTGTTTGTTACCAACTGACGTTTCTGAAACTGGCGAGCTGAACAGAAAGAGGGATGATGTCCAGCCCAGCTGCTAAGCTTTAACTCTAAAGTTTTAGCTACAGAATGAACGCGTAAGCAAACCTTCTCGTTTTGGGTGACCGGTACCCTTAGAAGCTGTTTCCAAACAGCATCTGATGAATGAGAAAAAGAGAGCTTTGTACGACAGCGCAGAAAGCCTGATGCTCATTAGCTTTAAGTTAGAGTAGAAGAGCTGAGTGCAGCTCTTAAGTAAGAGCTTAAATAAATAAGAGCTTTTCATCACAGACAGGAAGCTGTTCTGTGACATTGAGATTTTTTAATTGATTCATCTTGTTTTGACTGATCTGATCCTTGCTGAGATGGTGGTTCTTGCTAGGCGCTGTACCCAGGTTTGTTTATTATGTATTTTACCATCTAAGACTACAATATCCTTTGGTGAGCAGACTGACTGAGCCCTTTTTCTTGAATTTACTTCCAAGTAGAAAGTTTCCGCGCTATTCTGTGGACGTAACGTCAGATGTTAAACGGGGGACCCAGAGAATATCAAAGCTTTATATTCAAGATGGACTATACGAAAACTTAGCAGTGACCTACATCCAGCTCAACTCGGAGACCAATGGAAACCCCATGCAAGGTGAAAAAAGTAAAAATAAAACCTTATAAAGTATAAGCGCGAGCTACGAAGTGTGCTGCAGGTCTCGGTTTGGGAAACAGATGAAAGCATCATTAGAAAACTCTTTAAACATAAAACGTTCTTTGATCTGTTTTGTTTTCACAAAAGAAGAAAAGTAAACCAATGATTTTGGCCAGGCAGGGGAGTATGGCTGATAGAAAGGGGGGAGGTTTTAATAGGATGATAAAACATGCTGCCTAGTCAATAAGGGTTAATCAAAAGTGTGATCTTTATTAAGTAATTGGTTAAGTTTAATAACGAGAATTTAAATCAGACAATGAAAGAGGGACTGAAATATGAGCAGGGAGAGAAAATATCTGGGTTATATTATTCATTTCATCTGTTGTACTTGGTAGTTCCCAAAACATATATACAAATAACAAAAAATTCTACCACATTAACTAACATCATCCAACTAACCTGGCCCTGAAAAATGACCTGGACTCACCTGCAACAAACCTCTCCAGGGTCCACCCACAACGTGAGCTCCCGGGGCAGCCCCAGGTCCCCATACTTTACTCCGCTCTCCTGGCAGGCCCGAAGGAGATCTGGATCCTGCCTGTGGAACCTGTTTATTCTGATGCACCTAAAACACCAACATAAAGGGGATGTTTCAGATTAATGACCTGAAAATGTTAGCTTCTATTTGTTACGCAGTGCTTTTCCAAATCATCTGTACCTGTAGGCCTGTCCTCTGCTGGGGCTTTCTGGGTACCAGTGACCTTTGAACTTCTCCTGTAGAGCAACAGCCAGCCTCTCGACAAACAGCTCCACCTGGTCGGATTCCAGCTTCTCTCCTTTCTTCACGAGCCTCTTCAGAAAGAAAACCACCGCTGCTATCTCTCGCATCATGTTTTACGTCTGATCATTACGAACCATGAGCTTCTGGAAGAAAACTGAACATCGAACAACATCCACAATGGTTAGACGGAACCACACAGTTGCTAAATCTGTTTATTGGCAACGTTTCTGATGTTTTTATTTTGGTGAAATCATATTGCATAAGCCAAAATTAAGACAAATATTGTGATAGAGGTTTGGGGCATAACTTTCAGGTCTAGACAGATTACTAGTCTACAAAAATAGAGTAAATAGCAGTGACCAGCATGTGTTTAAATCACACTTTATAGGAGCTATGTGGACACGCCCAATAAAAATAATCAGATTTTCCTTTTTTTAATTCAGCAGTGTCTATGTTAGAAATAAGTTAAAGGGACGATGTAATCAAACGAACCGCTGTCAGTGTTATATACAGGCAAGAAAACACATCAACATGCAACATTTCCATATATTTACAAATGCTTCTTGCCCATTCTAAGATCTCCATTGTGAGTTTAATAAAAGTGGTGCTCGTTATTGTTATAACAGTAAAGTGAAAATGTTGACGAATCAGGATGCATGTAAAATCCTGGTTCAGCTCATTAGAAAGGCTAAAATGAGTAATTTACTTCGCAATCTTAATGGGAAAATCAAAGTTTAAAAAGAAAAGAGTTTTACTATAAAACATTATTTTAATTAATACAGTTTCTGAAAAGATTGTTAACTTCACCTTGACTGCTCAGTATCTACTGGTTGTCATATGTCCATTATGTTTACTGGATAATTACCTGAAATTGTACCGTTAATAAAACGATATAATTTCCTCATTTTTAATGTATTTCACTTTAAGTTTATTAAACATTGAAGCACAGCACAGACGTAACTTTCTGAAGAACTGGTGTGGACATGTCCCACCAATCATTTTCGCTTTTTATCCTCCCTTTCCGCTCAGTTTCTTTAGCCAAAGGTAACAGAGGTTAGGTGCGGCTATCTTTTTTTTCTTCTTTTATGTACTTTTTCCCTCTCCCCCGCTGCTCCTGTGCCCCGCCTTTCCGCCTAACATCATCGGATATGTCGCTTTGAGACATTTGATGCAGTTCTTTTTCAGCGATGTACAGAGTCACCAAGTGGAGGAGGAGAGACACACAGCTGCACTCACTGAAAATTAATCAGCAGCTACTTTCACGTTTAAGTAAAAAAATAAAAATAAAAAATTAGAGATGCCTCCGGAAAATCTGTTCGTTAGACATACTGAGCTTTTTCCACAAGAAACGCAAAAATGTGTAAGTTTATACAAGTTAGTATTATAATGCAAGAAGCTTGAGGAAAATATAGTTTAAATGTGTCCTTCTGAAGTCAGAGGACCATGGCTCCCAGTTACACGTTAAAATGAACACATTTTCTTATTGTACAGACAGAATCAGACTGCAGAGCTTCTACAGTTCTTTAAATTCTGTTTTCGGCACCATTACATTAATCAGGAGGTTCATAAATCTTTTTAAACAGAGCACAGAGAGAAGTAGTGAGAGCTGCAGATTTAAAGGGGAAACAGATTTACTGGGATATGCAACATGCAGTAAAATATATCTCCAAGTTTCCCGGAAAGTGTAAAAGAAAAGAATATGCTATGCTATATTTAAAATGCAGCATATCAAAAAAAATTTCTAGATGGAATTGAAATAGTATTTCAAGGGATGCATGATATATCGATTTTGGCATCGGAATAGGCTTTTATTAATTTTTTTTTTTTTATATATATTGATGTGGAGGTCTTTAACAGGGGTTCCATGCCCCCAAAAGGTCCACATAGGTACTTTATGGGGGTCGTGAAAGTTTTGGATGATTAGACTTCCCCTGCATTTTTATTCCACT